AAAAAAAAAAAAAAAAAAGCCACGGTTTTTGCAAGTTATACAGTGTGGCCAGGGCCATCTGGCATCTGAGTGTTGGGGGAGAGGTCCTGAATCTTAACACCCCATCCACGGCTTCCTGGGAGAGGGAGGTCTCTTGTGGGTCGTGAGACCCCCAGCAGTGGGATAGGGAGGGTGAGGGGTGGGGACATGAGAAATCCTTCTCTGTGCTGGACCCTGGGCCCAGGCGCTGGCCAAGCTGAGAGGTCATGACTCTGTTAGGAGAGTCAGGATTTGAACTCGGTCTGCCTGACTTCAGAGGTCTTTCCTCAACAGCCCTGTGGGTTTGGAGTGGAGGGTTTTGGGGGATGCTGTTTTCACCTCTCAGAGCTCTGATAGTCCAGCACTCTCCAGGGGTTTGATAATGGCTGAGGATGAACACTGGTCTGGCACAACAGATACACACAGAGCCAGCTTTGCCTAAAAGCTAAATTGAAAAGTGGCAGGTTTCTTTGTTTTGCAATTTGTATGTGCTGTTCCCTCCTCTGGCCACTCTGGCTGCAGACACAGTATGACCCAGGTTCCATTCTTTTTTTTCTCACTCTGTTGCCGAGGCTAGAGTAAGGTGGCATGACTCACTGCAACTTCTGCCTCCCAGGCTCAGGTGATCCTCCTACCTCAGCCTCCTGAGTGGCTGGATACAGATGTGTGCCACCATATCCGGCTATTTTGTTGTTGTTGTTGTAATTTTAGTGGAGACCTGGTTTCACCATGTTGCCCAGGCTCGTCGTCTTGAACTCCTGAGCTCAAGTGATCCGCCCATGTTGGCCTCCCAAAGTGCTGGGATTACAGGCGTGAGTCACTGCGTCCTGCCCCTGGTTCTGTTCTTAAGGAGTTCCCAAACTGAGTGACAGATGGGTAATAAGCTAGAGACTGTAGAGGACATAGCAAGAGCAGAGGCCTGGAAGAGAACGGAATGTTCTAGAAAGTAGTCTTATCCCCAGGGAGTGATGATGGGCTGCTGGGGATCCCAGATTCTGGGCTGTAGATTGCTCCCCACCAGTAAAAAAGGCTCCCACAAGAAAATCACAAGCTGTCTGGGGCTAGTACCCTTCTCTAAGTCATCACCAACTGTTCATCAGCTTGACAGACACCAGAATAAATACACGTTGAGTGAATGGACTTCGTTACCATGTTCCAGTTCCAGCCACTGGCTGGTGGGGGCAGATGGTGCTGAGGTTGCCCGGTCAAGGGTAGCTTGCTCTTCTTCCTTGCTCCAGCAAATACTTGTGGAGGGAATTCTGCCAGGCTTCGTAATGGATACTGATAGAAAACTTAACAGCAACGCCTTAAGGAAGGAACTTTCATCTCCATTTTCTAGGTGAGGAAACCAAGGCCCAAAGCAGGGCTACCTTGTATCCCACTCCAAGGTGAAAGGAGGCAGCTTGCTGCATTTAAACGTGGGTCAGCTTCCAAGCCCAGCAGTGATCAAGCCGGCTATGGTGGGCGCAGCAGAAGGGGAGCATGAATCTGAGATTGGTTGCAGTGTCATCGTGTGCCTACTGAGGAGCAGGGGCCATGTCCCTCCCCCTACACCTAGCACTGAGCCACACTGAGCACCCTGTTTCTTAATCTGATCGATCGGTCCCCATTTCTTCCCCCTGCACATACTGTTCTGTCCACCTGGAATGTAGCCTTGCCACTGCTTTCCCACTTGGCAGACTCTCTGTGTGTCCTTCACGGCCCAGCTCCAGTGTCACCTCCTGGGAGCTCATCTTTTTTTGTACCTGGGCAAAACTGGAAATCTTTCCCTCCAGGGTTCTCACAGTGCCTCATACCAGCCTCCTGTTGAAGCCAAGACCACACTAGCCACTCATCTTCATCTGCCTCCCCACTGCCCCCACCCCACTGGACTGGAAACCCCTTCCTTGGTGTCAGGACTGGGTCCAGTTTCATCCGGGGCCCCAGCCTCACTTAGCATGAGACCTGGAGCATAGGTCACTGGTATTTTAGTGAGTCCTAGTGCCGCAGCTGCCTGGGTGGATGTGGATGTGATCCAGGGCGTGGGTAGGCAGGTTTTCTAAAGTGGAGTTTGACCTCGACCTGCCGATGACAAGGTCCAGCAGAGGGGTATGTCCTTGGACCCCAGCAGCCCCCATTGCCAGAGGCTAAAATCGAGCAGCTGCTCAGTGGGGCCCCAGGGATGACTTCAGAGGCTCCAGACCCCTGGAACATCAGATGCAGACCCCAGTAAAACAGGGCCTGTGATAATAGCACTTGCCTCACACGGCCAGTGTCATTCACTCATGCTCTGCCAACATGTTTTTATTTAAATTTTTTTGTTTTTATTTAAACAAAAAATGTTTTTATTTAAATTATGTTTTTATTTAAATTGCTTTGTTCTAAGTAATATGAAATCATAGGGCTTGTAAAAATTATTTTGAATAGGTGATTCCATTCACACCATTCAGAATTCAAAAAAGTGCCAAAGGCTATAAAATGAAATCTCCCTTTCACCCTGTCCCCAGTCACCCAGGCCCCCCGGGTTAGAATGTCACCTTTCTTGTACATTCTTTTTTTTTTTTTTTTTTTAGACAGAGTCTGCTCTGTCGCCCAGGCTGGAGTGCAGTGCAGTGGCGCCATCTTAGCTCACTTCATCTCCCAGACAAAGTGATTCGTGTCCCTCAGCCTCCCAAGTAGTTGGGACTACAGGCACGCACCACCATGCCCGGCTAATTTTTGTATTTTTAGTAGAGACAGGGTTTTGCCATGTTGGCCAGGCTGGTCTCGAACTCCTGGCCTCAAGCTGGGATTACAGGTGTGAGCCACCGCGCCCAGCCTCTTGTGCATTCTTTTAAATAGATGTGTATATTCTCCTTCTGCCCCCAGCCAATTTTTTTTTAAAACACAAAAGGGAGCATACAATATACACACTGCTCTGTTTTTGGTTTTGCTTTTGTTTTTTGGGACAGGGTCTCACTCTGTCACCCAAGCTGAAGTGCCATGGGGTGATCACAGCTCACTGCGGCCTCGAACCCCCAGGTTATGTATTCCATTATATAACTATGCCACGCCACGTTTTCTGAAATCATAGATTGATGTCGCTGCATTGCTTGTTTTTAATCTATTCTAATGTGTTCCAGAAAAATACAGTATATACTTTGCATCCCATAAGCCAAATGCAGGTAATTCCGCAGGCAGAAAGCCCAGCACGTGGTGGGCCTAGCAGTCGCTGTTTAGTGAACCCTCCTGGTGATGCTTAGTGCCTTGCCACAGCCTCTGATTTAATCCCAGTGTCCACCCTATGAGTTAGACTTGACCTGGTGTGTCACTGGGATCCCCCAGAAGTTTGTCAGCTGCTCACTACCCACTCAGAACAACAGCTCTGGGCCTGAAGGCTCCCCAGAGACTTGAGAGAGGGAGACTCGGGGCAGTGCCAGGACATACTGGGGGAGGGGCTGTCTTTCCAGTTGGGCAATGCAGAGAACTTAGAGAGAATGGAGTCCCTGTGGTATGAGGGAAGCCCCAGCATGTGGAATAAATGTCCCGAGGCAGGCTAAGGGGTCAGACTAATGGGAAGGAAGGACACAACGCACACACAGAGGGGGCTCTGAGCTGTACGCTCCTCCTGGGCCAAAGTCTTCTTCCTCTTTCGCAGCCTCTGATGTGAGAGCCTTGGCTTTTGCAATCGTTGCCCTGACTGACAGCTTCCAGAGAATGAAAAGACCATACTGGGAATATGCCTGATAACAGCTACGCCCAGGGCTATCTGTGATGATCTTGAAGTAAAGGGTGCTTCTGGGTTCTGTGGAAACCGAGGCCCAGAAACCCACAGGCAGGCCGTGGCCAGCTCCACTCACTTCCAGTGCCCAGTCTGGTGTGGTGTGCGTAGCGAATGCCAGTCATTTCTTTGGTGTGCCTCCCGCAGCCCTGTTCTCCCACAATCAGTTAAAGGCCTGCCTAATGTCACATTTCCTGATTTCCTCATTTTTATAGCTGAAAAGAGTACTTTTCTCCAGCAAGGCGGACATCCCACTGGCCTCTCAGTCACCTGTGGCTAAGCAGGGCTCTTCACCTGCTGGCCTCTGCCCTTCCTGCTGCCTCATGTCCTCGGCTTCCAGTGGATAGAAGCAAACTGCCCTTTTTCTCTCCTAGCCCTTTGCCCACTGGAAACACCTTGGCCCAACACTCTTACTCACCTTGTGCACTTTTCCAAAGTGCATTCCTGCCTAGCATGTCATCTATGTCCAAATAACCTTGGGAGTCTTATGGTTTGGGGATTGTTGCCGTCAGGAGCACTGGGTAGGGAGTCCGGAGCCCTGAGCTCTCTGCTGCAGACTCCTGAGTGATCTGGAACTTGCCTCACCCTCTCAGGGCTCAGTTTCCTGCCCTGTGAACAGCAGGAAGGTCAGGGCAAGGTGGGATCACATCTCCAATGTGACAAACGAAGCTGTTGCCATTTTGCTGACCATCCAATGGAAGACAGGGGAGAAGTGGAGGACAGGGGAGAAGTGGTGCAAGGGGGACTTAGCTGGAATTCACAGAGCAAACAGGCCGATGGGCTGGAATCAGAAGCCAGCGCCTTCAGCTCCAAATCCAGGTTGTTTCTCCTATATCTGTGCTACTCCTACCAAGTAATTTGGGCCCCCTCACATAGGAGGGTTGGTTCCTGGGCCTCCCAGTTAGAGAGTCTAGAACCACCAGACCCCAGGCATGGCTTCACCAGGGAAATGAGACCCCCACGAATCCGAAGCCTCTGCCTCTCTGAGACCTGGCTACAGAGAGAGAAGACCATACTTCCCCTCTCTCCCCAGGAAATGGTCGGCCAGCCCAGTGTCTTGAAGTCAGCTAGGCTGGTTTGGGCACCTGAGGTCGGGAATAGGCCAAGTTTCCTGGGAGAAAGACTGGTGTGGTGCCAGGAGTCAGGCAAGATACCTGAACACAGGAACCTGCCAGTCCAGGCCCTGCCCTGTAGTAACCTGGGCCCAGACACGCCTATAACAGTGTGGTTTGTTTCTCTGCAGAAGTTGACGGGTCGCCTCATGCTGGCCGTGGGAGGAGCAGTGCTTGGCTCCCTGCAGTTTGGCTACAACACTGGAGTCATCAATGCGCCCCAGAAGGTGAGTACTATGCCATCGTTGGCTTATGGACACGAGCCTGCTCTGTTGCACATCACACATGCCCATGGTCTCACACCACCACCTGAATTAGTCTCACACCACCCCAGAAGGTGAGTACTATGCCATCGTTGGCTTATGGACACGAGCCTGCTCTGTTGCACATCACACATGCCCATGGTCTCACACCACCACCTGAATTAGAGTCATTTACATCAACGCACTGTCTGCCTCTCCAGCCAATTTTCTGGCCCTGACAATGTCAGAGACTCGTCTCTTGCTTTGGAATCTTAGGGCGGCAGAATTCTAGAATCTCAGGTCCCACAGAATCCTGGGGTCTTTTATAGGGCCTCTTGACCAACCCTCCACCCAACTCAGTCGTATAATAATATGTTGGATGATATAATAAACTCAGAGCAAAGCTCAATACAACAATGCTGCATTTCCATGGCATTCTGGGGCTGCAGAGGGTTTTCCTGGGCTTGTCTCACTTGATGCTCACTGCAGCACTGTAGGCAACAGGCACCACTCCCAGCCTGCAGGTGTGGGAAATGGCCAGGGAGAGGAAACCTGCCCAGTATCACCCAGCTAGTCAGAGACAGCTGGTATCCAACACCTGCCTGCCAGGTGGTCCTTGAGCCTGCACTCATACCCATCCACAGGCAGTGCACTTCCTTTTAAGGCATCCAATTGTAGGTTGAAACTGCGTCCTCTCCCTGAAGGCCCTGTGCCAGTCAAAGCAGAAATGGCGTCTTGCCCTGGGGAGCCGCAGGGGGTGAAGGTCTGTGCTGGCTTCCTCCTCCCTACCGTGCATCCTAGATCTGTCCTCACTTGTTTACTTGAATGTCAGGATGGGAAGGGACCTAGATCATCTCCTCCAGCCCAGCCTACTTGCATTAAGGAGGAGAGAAGAGGAAAAGGGGGTAGGGGGTAGGGACAGGAAAGGAAACTAACTGAGCCCTTCCTCTGTACCAGGCATTTTGCTTGTGTTTATGAGATTGGGTGGTGATTTCCATTTTATAGACCCAGAAAACTAAGGTCCAGGCAGATGAAATGACCAACAGGCCCAAGGTCACAAAGCTACTGAATGTTGGAGTCAGAAGCCAAGCTCTTTATTTCCATGGCCGCAGGCGGTCTTCCTAACCAGCTGCCTTGCCAGTTTAAAAATCTGTACCTTCTCAGAGAGGACCAAATGAGTGGGCAGTCCTCACTCACGTCAGGACCACATTTCTTGTCTAGACGGATGCGGCTAGAAAGTGAGTGTGGTGACTCCCAAAGATCAGGGGCCTGTTTGGGGGAACCAGGTAGTGTCTGGAGTTAGCTGGGCTCTTTTCCAAATAGGCACTATGGGCTATGGGCCATGCCCGATGCCAAGGAGCAAGTCACCAGGAAGGCTTGGCCTGCTGAGTCATGCTCAGCTGCCGCGGAGGTGACGGGACTTTTCCAAGTTTGCCGGGCATGGCGACCGTGGGCCCATGTTTGGACCAGCCCCAAGCCCTGCATTTGCTAAGTGCTCTTGACAGCTCTTGCCGAAGTGTGTGCTTCAGAACTGGCTCCCTTTGGGAATCCTTACAAATGGAAAGTCTGTAAGACAGGCTGGGAGGAAACAGAGGGAGGCTGAGCTCTCCACTTTGCTGCACACTAGGGTTTCCAGGACACCCCCAGATTCTGATTTAATTGGTCTGGGATGCTGTTTGGGCATTCAATTAAAAGCTTCTCCACCAATTCAACTGTGCAGCCAAGGTTGACAGTACTGGACTGAGTGATGTCTTGACTGTGATCTCATAGTGAGTTAATGACAGAACTAGGACTCTAAGGTCAGGACAGAGAAGGTGTTTTCCAGAAACAGAACAGGGTTGGGGTGAGCAGGGGGCCTGCAAAGTAAAATGCCCAGAAGAGAGAAAGCCTGGCATGAGTAAAGCATGAGTAGTTTAGTGTGTCACTAGAGTGAACAGGAGGAGGGGGGAAGGTTGGGGAGGTCAACACGGTAGGCAAGAGCCAGACCACAAAGGGCCCTGTAAGTATGGCATGGCACAGTCAGAAGGGGCGGTGGGGGTGGGGAGGGGCAGCTAGGGAGCATGGACTTCAGGATGAAGACAATAGGAACCCACTGCCCAGGGCAGACGTGATCAGACTTGCATTGTACGGAAATGACTCAGGCGTCTGGTATGGAGGGGTAGACCTAAGAATGTGAGACTAGAGACGGGAAACCATGAAAGTTGCCGTTGCACTAGTGACATAAAAGCAAACCCTCAGAGGAAGAATGGACAGGATTTGGTCATCAATTCCGTGCGAGGGCAACAGAGAAGGGTTTAAAAATGGTTTCTAGGTATCTGGTGACGTGTGGTTTGAAGAAGGAGCAGGTGTGCCAGGAGCTGAGAGGTGGCCATGGGATGTGCAGGAATGGAGACGTGGGTGACACAGCTGGAGATGTGCAGGAGGCACCTGCATGTGTGGGTCTGTTTCTTAGACCCAGGCTGGAGAAAAGTTGAGAGTTAGTCACTGGTATCCACACAGCGGAGGAAGATCTTCTAGGGAGACTGTGGAATAAAAAGAGAAATGAAGAGTAAGGCAGGCGTGGTAGCTCACACTGTAATCCCAGCACTTTGGGAGGCTGAGGTGGGTGGATCACTTGAGCCCAGGAGTTCAAGACCAGCCTGAGCAACACATCAAGACCTCATCTCAATTTTATAATTAAATCAATAAAAATTAAAAGTAAAAAGATTAAGGCCCCAGAGAACAACCCATTGCTAGAAAAGGACCCTAAGTAGAAGAACAAGAGCTGGTATCTCTAAAACCAGGAGAGGATACCCTCCCAACACAGAGGGAGAATGTAAGCTGTCGAAGGGCCAGGGTATTTGTCTGGTTTGTCCACGGCTGTGTCCTCAGTGCCTAGAACGGTGCCTGTCATAGTAATAGACACTGGTGGATAGTGAGTGGATGAACGGAGTGGAGGAATGCCATCAGGTGCCCCAGGGGTTGAACTGGGCAAGCCTCTCCACATTGCTGAATGCAGAAGAGGCGATGGTGGCCTTGTGGCCATTTGGGCTGACTGGGTGACACAGCACGGGTAGAAGCCTCACTACGATTGGGTGAAGAGTGAGAGGCAGATGAGAAAGGGTGGAGACAGCCCTTCCAAAAGAGTTGGTGGGAAATGGAGAAAAGAGTTGAGGAGGTTTGGAATTATGGTATGGCTAGGAATTTATGTATGTATGTATGTATGCATGTATGTATGTATTTTAATGAAGGTCATTTTAAAACATGTTGGAAGGAATCAGCAGAGGAGAGCGTGAAGATAAGGAAGTGAGGGCGGAGGTCTTGCAGGAGGGAGGTGGTGTCGGAGCAGAAGGGAGGGGCTGCCTTTGGCCAGGAGGGACTGAGATACCGTTTTTTTTTTTGAGATGGAGTCTTGCTCTGTTGCCCAGACTGGAGTGCAGTGGCATGATCTTGGCTCACTGCAACCTCCGCTTCCTGGATTCAAGTGATTCTCCTGCCTCAGCCTCCTGAGTAGCTGGGCTACTGGTACAGGTGCGTACCACCATGCTCAGCTAATTTTTGTGTTTTTAGTAGAGATGGGGTTTCACCAGGTTGGTGAGGCTGTCTCAAACTCCTGACCTCAGGTGATCCACCTGCCTTGGCCTCCCAAAGTGCTGAGATTACAGGTGTGAGCCACCATGCCCAGCCAGGGACTGAGAGACTTCCAAAGATGTAGACAAATCTGAGATGGACTTCTGTGATCCCTGAGGCCTCCCGTCTAATCAGAAATAAGCGAGAGGTTATAACTGTCATGGACTATGGGCAGAACCTCTGACCAGGGCATCACAGGGCTGGTCAGCAGCTCAGAGGGCCCAGGTGAGGCTGTAAACTGCATTCACAGGACCATGTATGGGCACCTGTCCAAAGGTCACTTCGGGAACCAGCCCCAGCAGACCAAAACTGGAGATGTGAGTGGCCAGAACCGAGAACACTGAAATCTAGCGGTGTTTCCTGGGCAAGCACCCAGGCGCTCGGTCTGTTGACTTTTGCACTTTACAAGCACTTCTCACAAGGCTGGCTGCAGTTTTTGCAACCCGGAGACAGATTAGAAGTGACACATGTAACATGTGAAGAGAGGATAGAAGGACCCAAGAGGAAGAAATGAAAGTGAGGCTCAGAGCCCACATGTAGTAACAGGGCAGAGCGACTCCTGTGCCCGGGTAGGGCTGAAGGCCTGCCCTAGGGCGGCACAGATTCCATCCAGTCAACTCTTTCATTCAGCCAGGACTTCCTGAGCATCCACGCTGTGCCAGATGCTGTCCTAGACAGTGAGGAGGGAGAAGTATAGCTGTGAACACAGCAGGCATATGCTGGCCCTCAGGGAGCTGCCTGAGACACAGTCCGAGCCAGGCCCTGTCTCCACAGCAGTGGGAGAGACCCCTTGGAGAAAGCCAGAGTGTCACTAACAGAGGGCTTCAAGGTGCTGTGAGAGCAAACGGGGGGCAAGTAATGCTGGGGCTGGGGAGACAGGGGAGATTTAAAAAAGGGGCTTCACGGAGGACTTGGCAGGCATGCTTGACCTTGAAGTGTGAGTTGACCCCATAGGGCAGGAAGGGCAGGTGTCTGGGCAGTGGGAGTGGCTTCTGCAGAGGTGCAGGGATGTGAAATGTTCTGCTGATGAGGAATCGCTAACTGCCTGCACTGGGCACACCAACTTCCCTTGTCTGTTTAGAAGAACCTCTCTTAGGAAACAGCATTGGGTTGGCCATGGTTTGCCTACTCTTGAAAAGAGACTTTGCCCCACGAATGGTGAGGATGCCAGAAGCTTGTTCTCTTCCATAAAACAGGCCCCAAAGGGCTTCCCCCTGGAAGTGGTTAATTAATTCTACTTGCTTACATGTTTACAAAGCACCTCCCCATAAATTACCGCCTCACAGCAACTCTACAAGGCAGGCGGAGCTGACATTATCTTCCCCTCTTCTAAATGAGGGAACTGAAGCCAGATGAGGTATCTGGAGAGTGAAGGG